CCGAGCGAAATCCCGCAGATGAGGGATCGAGACGTTTCGACGACGAAACACATCATGTTGCCACAACCTCTCGGGGCCCTCCGCGCTGCTCGGCCTCGTCAGCTCTCTCTCGTCGGCTTCGGGACGACAGGCCCGATGCCCGACGCCCTCTCCGACCGCGGGGAGCAATGCCACTTGCAGGAGATTCACTGGGTTTGAAAATGAGTACCTCTCGGCCTGCATCGTCTCGCCAGCCAGGCAGGGAGGTGAGAGCTCAGCAGTCTTTGTCTCGTCCGCCGCCTTCGCCACGTTCTTCGAGACGCTTCGCGCCAGCCTTCCTGGAGCTCTACTCTGGCTGTGGGGCTCTGACTCCTGGGATGGCCGAGGTGGGCCTCAGGGTGTCCGTGCCGTTCGATATCGCCGAGGGTCCGGAGTTCAATCTCGAGAAGCGGGGGGTCCAGGACGTCGTGATCAGGTGGCTCAACGAGGGCCGCATCTGGTACATACATCTTGGGACGCCGTGCACCCCCTGGAGTAGTGCGGGTGTCTCGGGAGCACGTTCGGTTCACTGCAAGGGTGATCAAGCTCTGCACGGATCTGAAGGTATACTTCCCCCTCGAGAACCCCAAGACCTCGTCCCCGTTTAGGCAGCCCGAGATCCTGAAGGCCTTGGAATACGCGGACGCGTTCTTTGTCGAGTATGACTGTTGTCGATACGGTTGTTCATATAAGAAGCCGACCCTACTAGCGATTAATTGTGATTCCTTGAATAGCCTGAGTCTGGGGTGTGAATGTCGGAAGCCTCACGAGATCCTTCAGGGGAAAGTACGACTATCGGCCCAAGACGGACGTCATCGTTGGAAGCGGAAGACCTGTCTTGCAGCCTCGCACTCCCCCCAGCAGTGCCGATCGCGGGCGCGGGCCGCTCGCTGCGCCGCCCCGAGGGGAGCAGAGCGCGCTCCTGGCGAGGCCCGGCTGTCGGATGCCTGGCAAGAGGAGCTGCGTTAAGACGCTGGGGCCGGTCTCCAACGGCCGCGGCTCGAGCTCAGGCACCTCCCGCGTCGCTGGACCTCGCCCTGGGCCGGGGCGACAGGCGCCTGGGGCACGGGTCCAACTTGCCGCTGCGCGTGCTCAACGTCTCGGAGCGGAGGGAGGACCAGGGTTCCTGAGGGCGCACGCGATCCGGTCGGCAGGGGCCCGCCAGGCCTACACGGACGCTAACGACAAGTTCGTCGCCTTCGCCCGCCGCAGCGGTCTGCCGTTGGACACCGCTGATCATGTCGACGAGGCGCTGGAGAGGTTCTTGGAGCTGCTGTTCCTGAGCGGGGAGCCGCAGTCAGTAGCCCGCTCCGCCTTGTATGGCTTTGCGTGGTGCCATCCTGAGATGCCTCACAAAGATCGGAGGCTCTACATCAGGAGCCGTGCTGCGCTCGCTGTATGGCGGAACCTTGAGCCGGGCGGGACGCGCGATCCAGCTCCTCTCGAGATCGCGTGGTGGATCGCTGACGACATGCTCCAGCATGGTCTGGCGCTTGCCGCCTTTTTAGTCGTCCTGTGCTTTGACTGTTATCTGCAGCCTGGCGTGGGATGCACCCTGCGCCGTTCTAACGTCATGCCACCGGCTGCTGCAGTTCACGAGGTTTATGATCGCTGGTGCCTCCGACTGTCCCCAGCCGAATCAGGCCAACCCTCGAAGACCGGCGCCTACGATGACAGCATCGTGGTCGGCGAGGTCGCTGGACGGGAATGGATCGCTCGAGCTTTGGCGATCATCTTCCCTCACGTCCAGTGTGATCATGTCATCTTCCCCTTCGGACTTCGAGACTTCGAGAATTTTTTCAAGGATTCGGTTTGTACGGCTCGGCATCTCGCATCTCCGTCTGTCACCCCACTGCCTACGCCACGGTGGTCCTTCGACGGACGTATACACCAAGGCTTACACCCTTGAGGAAGTGCGTCGCCGAGGAAAATGGGCCGACCATCGCAGTGTGTCTAGATACGAGAAACACGCCCGTTTGCACGCCGCGTTTCAGAAATTGCAGCCAGGCGATCAGCGCCTTGCCTCGACCGCCGCTGCCACTCTGTCCAGTCGCCTGCTCGCGGCCCTCCGTCAACCAGCCCTTTGGTCTAATGCAAGGTATATTGCAACTGTTACGTGAAGTGACTGTTTCGGTCGCGCCTGCAGCGATCGTGGCTCTGGCAAGCGCGCTCCGAGCTTGTGTTTTTCAGATCTAAGCGTGCGCTGGCCGCGCACGGTCCCGAGAAAAAAGAGAGGCTCTGGAGGTCCTTCAGGCTCTCGGGTAGTCTCAGACTGTGGGTCAGTATGTAGCCTCCTTGGCCACGCAGTTTAGTGAATGTAAAGATTGCAGCAATCACTGATGTCTCTTTGCGGCATGAGTCGTGGCCAGGTCCCTCCGATCCATCGCCCAATGTGCTCGAGTTGTTTCTTCTCCTCCTGCGTCCCCTCCACCTCCCTCCTGCTGTGTTCCACTGAACCCAGCCTACCTTCACTTACTTGGCAACTGTTACGTGAAGTGACTGTTTCGGTCGCGCCTGCAGCGATCGTGGCTCTGGCAAGCGCGCTCCGAGCTTGTGTTTGTCAGATCTAAGCGTGTGCTGGCCGCGCACGGTCCCGAGAAAAAAGAGAGGCTCTGGAGGTCCTTCAGGCTCTCGGGCAGTCTCAGACTGTGGGTCAGTATGTAGCCTCCTTGGCCACGCAGTTTAGTGAATGTAAAGATATGTGTATATATATATAGTTACAAAAAAAGGAGGAAAAACAAATGGCTCTCGCCCCAGCGCCGCGCACATTCGTTTTACACTTTTGCCAGAGCTTCACGGACGGAGGCCGACCCGTTCTCAAGTGTGGTTCTCGTCTTCGCGCCGCGCATATTGGTTCTTGTACAGCTTGCTGGAGCTTCACGGATGGAGCGCGGCCCGTTTCCAAAATGTGTTTCTCGTTGTAGCGCCGCGCACGTTCATGTCAAGAACTTGCAGCAGTTGGAAGGATTAGCACGCATCACGTCCCAGAAATTGTGCTTTGGGCACGATGTCGGAATGCCAGGGCGCACCAGTCACGTTGATTCGCGGTGTGGATTTCCCAGGAATTGTGTTCAGGCTCGGTTTAGAATTTTCAAGACGCAAAAGTAACGGTGATTCGCGGCGTTGATGTCTTGGGAATGGCGTTCTGGCACAATGCCGGATTTTCCAACGGTTGCACTCCAACGGGGCATTTCCCGCAGCGAAAATGAGTCCGTGTAGGGGCCTATGAAGAGGAATTTGGGAGGGAGGGTCTATTGCTATATCGTTGATGAGTCTTGGTTTTGCATTGGTCGTCCACCTCCCCCGCCTTCTCCTCCTCCTCCTCCTCCTCCTCCTCCTCCTCCTCCTCCTCCTCCTCGTTTTCCTCCTTTTCCTGCTGCTCCTCCTCCTCCTCCTCCTCCTCCTCCTCCTCCTCCTCCTCCTCCTCCTCCTCCTCCTCCTCCTCCTCCCCCTCCTCCTCCCCCCCTCCTCCTCCACCTCCTCCTCCTCCTCCTCCTCCTCCTCCTCCTCCTCCTCCCCTCCTCCTCCTCCTCGTCCTCCTCCTCCTGCTCCTGCTCCTCCTCCTCCTCCTCCTCCTCATCTTCCTGCTCCTCCTCCTCCCCCTCCTCCTTTTCCTCCTCCCCTCCTCCTCCTCCTCCTCCTCCTCCTCCTCCTCCTCCTTCTCCTCCTCCTCCTCTTCCTCCTCCCCTCCTCCTCCTCCTCCTCCTCCTCCTCCTCCTCCTCCCTCCTCCTCTCCTCCCTCCTCCTCCTCCTCCTCCTCCTCCTCCTCCTCCTCCTCCTCTCCCGCCTCCTCCTCCTCCTCCTCCTCCTCCTCTCCTCCTCCTCCTCCTCCTCCTCCTCCTCCTCCTCCTCCTCCTCCTCCTCCTCGTCCTCCTCTTCCCCCCTGAGATCCGACGCTGCGAACAATAATTTCGCGCGAAAAAAACACGACTGGACCCCTGTAGACCCCAACTTTCCACGGCAAGTCTCGAGCCACGCCAGTCCGTGAGCCCCGGGGCCCAAATTTGGGCGAAAGCTTCTGGTGCGCAAGCAAGTGACTCATGCCACGCCAGGATTTCAGGCTACTTCCTCCTACCGCCTCCCTCCCCTGGAGACGACGATGGGGGCGAATAGCCCAGGGGGGGCAACACATGCATCCGGGGGCGCCGGTGGTCTATGTCTTCGGCGAGGCTCCCCAGGGAACACGTGTCATGCCCGCCCTTGGGTTGTTCGCCTTGCCGCCGCCTCCTCCGAGCCCACACATCCGACGTCTCGATTTGTTCAAGACACCGGCCCCTGACCTCCCGACCACTTCCCCGGGACTGTTTTTTCCTCCCGAGTTGTTTTTTGACGGCCCCGAGCCCCGGCGATGGCTCCGAGCTACAGTGCGGTTGCGATCGCAAGAAACCCTCGCAAGAAACCCAACCCTGAGAACCCATGCGCGAGGTGCACCTGAGGGGAAACCTGGAGCACCCTGAACGCAGCAGTTCCTTCAACGGCTGCGGGAAGTCACCGCGCAGCCCGAGGAGCGAAGAAACCCAGGATACCCTGACGGAAAGCACATGGTTTCTTGATGCGCGCCCCCACTGCACGAAAAAACCCAGCCTCGATTTTGTCGAGACGTCCGCCCGGTGTCTCGGGGTTTCCCCCCCCCCCCCGAGAAGCCGATCGGCCGGAGGCGCCCGCCCGATGTCTCGGGGCTCCAGCTCCTCCTCCAGCTCCTCCTCCTCTCTCCTCCCTCCTCCTCCTCCTCCTCTCCTCCTCCTCCTCCTCCTCCTCCTCCTCCTCCTCCTCCTCCTCCTCCTCCTCCTCCTCCGCCTCCGCCTCCGCCTCCGCCCCTCCTCCTCCTCCTCCTCCTCCTCCTCCTCCTCCTCCTCCTCCTCCTCCTCCTCCTCCTCCTCCTCCTCCTCCTCCTCCCGATGTCTCGGGGCTCCCCCCGATTTCGAGTTATCCCGATCCGATTTTGTCCCGATCGTCGCGTCGTTTTATCCCCCCCCCCCGAGGAGCCCATCGGCCGGAGGCTGGCCAAGGGCGCGAGGAGCCGGGCGGCGGCCGCGGCGCTCGTCCTGGCGGCCATGCGGCTCCCCGCCGCGGGCCTCCCCACGGCGGACCTCGCCCGGCTGGCCGGGCTCGCCGGCCTGCCCGCTGGCCACGGCGAGGGCGGTGGGCGGCGCGCACCAAAGGGGGGGGGCGGCCTGAGACCCTCGCGGCCCAGACATGCTCGCGTCGTACAAAAATCAGGGCACAGACATCGGGCGTCTCGAAGAGATCGAGACGGAGGTTCTTTGTCATTTTCGGCCTCCCGGGGCCCTCGCCGGGCCTCGGGACCGTCAAAAACCGACTCGGGGTGAAGAACCGGTCCTGGGGAAGCGGTCGGGAGGTCGGAGGCCCGCGTCTCGAAAAAATCGAGACGTCGGATGTCTGGGGACGGGAGGTTTCTCGCTATTTTCGGCCCCAGGGGGGCCCTCGCCGGGCCTCGGGGCCGTAAAAAAGAAACGACTCGGGATGAAGAACCGGTCCCGGGGAAAGGGTCGGGGCTTCCAGGGGCGCCGTCCTGCAAAAAGCAGGGCGTCGCGCACGTCGGGCGTTGCAGTTTTTTGTTCGAGCCAGGCGTCTCCGCTCGCGTTCGGGCCTCGGGGCCCTCACAGACCGCTCCGGCTCGAGAGCTGGCGCAGAAGGATGGGCTCGGCATCGCTCGGACGTGTGCATTTTTCCTTCGGCGAGGACTATCGAGGAGCATCCTTGAGCACTTGGCGAAAAAACACGCACGAAGCCGAAAAAAAAGACAGGGGATGGACGTCCGAGCGATGGCCAGTGGGGTCCGGGGCTCCGGTCGTGATTTTTGCGCGAGGTTGCCGTTTTTACGGAGCGTCGGATCTCAGAGGGGGAGAGCGGGTGTGGAGAGAGGCGGCCTCCCTCTGAGGAGGCAGGGGGGGGGGCTTCCGAGAAGGCCGGGGGGGCCCGCCAGGCCAAGGACAGGAGAGCAGACTTTGAGAGCACGAGGCCCTTCGCCGGCCAATCTGAGGAACCCTCGAGGGCACCGTTCCCGAGGATGCACAAGAGGGTTCAGCAAGCACGGAGAATATGAGGGCGCCCTCCCCGAGCCGACCTCGATCTCAGACCTCGGTCCGACCAGATCGGGAGCCCCCTCCCAGCCTCTGGGGAAGCCTTCCTGGCAGCACCCTGGCCAGCCTTCAGCGGGCCGCCGCCGTCTGCTCAGGCCCCCGGCTTCGTGGCGAGGGCCCCGGAAAGCCTGCCCCCCCTCCCCTGCACCAGCGTCTGACCCTGAGCTGCTTTCTTGTTCACGGCCCTGGGGGCTATAGCGAGGGCCCCCCGGAGCTCGAGACTGGACACATACCGGAGGAGGAGGAGGGGGAGGAGGAGGAGGAGGAGGAGGAGGAGGAGGAGGGAGGAGGAGGAGGAGGAGGAGGAGGAGGAGGAGGGAGGAGGAGGAGGGGAGGAGGAGGAGGAGGAGGAGAGAGGAGAGGAGAGGAGGAGGAGGAGGAGGAGGAGGAGAGGAGGAGGAGGAGGAGGAGGAGGAGGGGGAGGAGGAGGAGGAGGAGGAGGAGGAGGAGGAGGAGGAGAGGAGGAGGAGGAGGAGGAGGAGGAGGACCTGGGGCTCAGAGGGCCCCCCGCCTTCCCTCGACGCTCCCCCCCCCCCCCCCTTGCGCGCGCCGCCGGCAGGCGGGCGGACGGACCAGCGCGCGGCCGCGGCCCGCGCGCGCGGGGAGCTCTTCTTCGAGGACGTCGAGGGCGCAGGCGCGGCCGCGGGCGGGGCCAGCGACTCGGAGGGCATCGGCCCAGACAGCGCCGCCGCGGCCCTCGAGGCCGTGCGCTCGGGGGCGCTCGAGCGGCTGGAGGGAGTCGAGGCCATCGAGGGCGCCGAGGACGGCGAGCCCGGCGGCAAGAAGAGGGCCCGGCAGCCGCCCGGCGCCGAGGAGGAGCAGGGCGGGGGGGGGGGGGCAGGCGCAGGCGCCGATGCGCCGCGTGGGACGTCGAGGCGTTTGGGGGGCAGGGCTCTCAGGCGATTCCGTCGGCTCCCGGGGGGGGTCCCCTGCCTCGGGGCTCGTTCGCGCAGCCGCGCCTCGCCGAGGGCGCCCCGCGGGGTGCCCGAGATCGTCCCAGATGGCCGCCGGAGGCCCGAGCTGCGACCCAGCTGCCGAGGGACCCTTCGCTGGAGTGGCCTTTGGTGCGCGACTTTCGGGGGGCGGGGGGGGGGTGCGGGGGGAGGAGGATGGGGGAGGCGGCAAACCCAACAAGCCCTCTGGACGCGAATCGGTTAGCGAGGTTCCGTTTCCATCGTCCATCTTCCCCTCAGGAAGTGAGGTTGATCCCTCTCCCAGACCCTCTCCCCCTGGGTCTGGACGGGAGGGACTGCGACCCATTAAGGCGTCCAAGAAGGCATCGGCTGGAAAGCACCAAATCGTTGGGCCAATGTTGGCCTCCCAGGGGGGGAGGGGGAGGGGGGAGGGAGGGCAGCCAGCCCCGAGCACGCAGGCTGCGACTGTCGCACGGCATGCAACGGTCGGCAAGCCGCGCTCCTAGGGCCAGCACTGCCTAGAGCTATTCTTGCGCGTAGCCGAACTTGGTGTCCACACTTTAGTTGTGACTCATTGCCGGTGAAGCCGTTCGTGATCAGGTCGCGCCATCGCGCTCTTCTGCCACCGTGTCCAGGGGCTTCGGAGGGCCTTCTGCCGCTTCGTCCTGACGCTTCCCCACCCACTTCTCCGTCTTCACTGCGCAGAGGAGAAGCGGGAGGTGGGGAGGGCAGGGCGCACGGCAAGGGAGGGGATGTGGCAGCCCTTCCCCCCACCCCCTTGCTTTCCTGCTGGAGGCAGCCAGGTCCCCCGCAGCGGCGCGAAAATAACGGTGGCTCGCGCTTCGCGATCTGGAGTGGATGGCAGTCCACACGCCGGTCGCTGAAAGTAATTAGGTGTTTTCAGATCCCAATCTGCTTCAAGCGCCTTCCAACTTCAAGAAGCGGCATCTGCTTTTGATATGCTTCGTTATTCTCTGGGAGGGCCCTGAGCCCGCATGCACCTTCTTTTTATTATTATCAGTATTATTAGTATTATTATTATTAGTATTCGTATTAGTATTAGTATTATTGTTGTTTTTAGTATTATTATTAGTAGTAGTAGTAGTAGTAGTATTATTATTATTATTATTATTATTATTATTATTCCGACCGACGTGCAGCAGACCCGGCGCCTGCTTGAGGCCCCGTACCCACATAGGACGAGGGCGCGGACGGCGACGACGCTGGCGCCGCGGCGGTGGGCAGCACGCCCGTAAAGCGCCGCTTGAGGAAGAAGAAGAAGGCGGTGGACGACGCGTGACCTGGCGGCTCGCCCACGCCGCCGGCCGCGTCGGGAGCGGAACCCGCGAGGTCGCAGACTGGTCGGCGGCGCGCAGAGGGGGACAGGGCAGCCGGGCGAGCTGGTGCGGCCTCGCCAAGAGGCACCCCGCCGCTTTGGGCGCCCCCCTATCTCACTTGGCATCGCTCGGACGTGTGCATCTTTTCTCGTCGAAGACCATCGAGGAGCATCTAGGCTCACCTTGCGAAAAGACAAGCGCACGGAACGGAAAGATGCACGGGGGAATGGGCGTCCGAGCGATGGCAAGGCTCAGCCTTCAGGAGGCCTTCTTACGCGGTGACTCTCTGAAAGGTCTGGTCCTTCCGAGGCCGCCCCCCTCGGTCTGCCACCGTGCGCGCGCCGCCCGAGATATAGGCCGCGTCTTGTGCTTCCCCAGATCTGCTGCGATCGCTAAAAAGTACCGCCGGACCGAGGCAGAAGGTCGAGGTCGGTTCGGGGAGGGTGCTCTGGTGTTCTTCGTGTTTGTTGGACGGTTTTGTGCACCCTGGGGCGGGTACCCTTCGATGTTCGGTTTCTTTTGGCCGACGGAGGGTCACATGTTCTTGAGGGATGCGCTTCTGGCCTAGGTCCGACTGTAGTCAGCACAGGCTGCGGGGGGTCTCGGGGAGTGGGTTTCGGATCTGTGGTCATCCATCGTGCGGCGTCGTGTATCATGTGAGCGCGGCGCATTGTCGAGGTAGACCGCCAGTAATTCGTCACGATCTGGCCACAGCCTATGATCGAGAGCGGGTGACGGGGGACAAGGTGGTGCAAATATTGCGAGGACCTTGCCAATGATCGAGGGACGCACGTGCAGCCAGGAAAGGGAAAGCGAGCGATGTCTACACAGCTACTCCGAAGCGATGCGCAGGCTTCTCTTGGGACCATGCTTTGCCACAAGGGTTGCCAAACAAGTCGCCCGTTGCACGCGCTGCTGCGCCAACACGAAAGACGATTAGTTGTTGGCGCCAGTAATGTTTGTGAAATGTTCCAGAGTCGCTATGCCTATAGCCTACTACAGCCGAAGAATCCGACCTAGAATGTTTGCGCGTTGCTGCATTCACTGACCCTGCTACTGCTGCTGCGGCTGCTGCTAGGGTGCCGATTCAACTGCTCCTATTGACACTATTGCCGCGGATGGTGTTGGAGCGACGACTGCGACCATTGTTGCAACGACCAGTGCTGCTTTTGCCGCTACGACTACGTCTACCTCTACTGCTACTGCCAGATATGACCATCACTACTACTGCTACTACTGCTGTTGGTGATATTGCTGCTGCTGTTGTTGTTGTTGTTGCTGCAGCTGCTGCTGTTGCACCCGCTGCTTACGGAGCGCATCGATATTACTACGATGTGCAGGCGTCGTCCGAAGTCGCATGTGCGGGGTTTCCGAAATACCTTTCTTCTGCGAGACAGAAGCTTGCTACCTACACGGCTACACAAAGCAAGCAAGTTGCCAGGCAACGCGCGATTGTTTTTTGGAAGTCGAAAAAACAGATTGTTCCTGCCACTATCTTGGGCAACCGGCTCCGACCACAAACCTCATGTGACACATGCGCGTGAGCATCATGTAGCTTGTTACACGCAACTGCTGCTCAACCCACCCAACACAGTGGGCAAAACCGGAAGGTGGGCAAGAAAGTAGTGCAGGCATTGGCCCCGACAAGTTCTGGACAGCCACGCAAGTGACAAAGTCTGGCAGTTGGACGCGGCTTCGGGGCGCTTTGCCAGGCCGATTGGCGAATCCGCCCGCTGGGGCGGTTTTTCGTCTGCGCGAGAGGGCGTTGCAGCCGCCATGCTTGCGGGCCTGCGCCCACGGGGCTGGGCTGGGCTTCTGGGCATCCCCTCATGCAGTACTCCTCTTTCTGGTCCTCCGCTGTCTCCGCACACCTCCGTTCAAAGTTTCGTGGCCGCACGATCAGTATGTCATCACAGGTGGCAGGACCGCAACAGCGCCGGTTGAGGAAACAAGCGTTTGGTGATCCTCTATCTCCTCCTCATCCGCCACTCCGCAGCTCCTCCCCGTCATTCTTCTCACCCTCCCCCTGCACCTCATCCTCCACATCATTTTCCCTTTCCTACTCATCCTCTATTTACCCATGACCCATGGCCGTTCGTATCATGCTTATCCTCCTCCTCCCCGAACGAATATTGGAAGCAGCCCATGGGGGCGGGAGCGCGACCTGAGGCCATTTGGAGTAAGGAAGCTACCACCCCGGACCCCTGTTGCGAAGAACTAACTGCAGTATTTGGGCAAGTTTGGCGAGGCGGCGAACAGGCTGTTCAGGCGTACCCTCCATATTCGCCGTACCGAAGCGCTCCCGACCCAGGCGTCGTTGTCGTTTGGATTTGCCCCCGACAAAAAGAACGGCAAGCCTGGACTTGCTGGGCGGAGGCTGCTGCATGCCATGTGCCCGTGGTGGATGGCGTACACAAGGGGGCAGCTCTTGCGCGGGGGGTTCAAGCCTCCGCCTTGGGCCTTCGCCTGTCGTGGCAGGCGACGCGAGCACCTGATGATTGCGACGAAGATTGTGGCGCGGAAGGGATAGTGGCCACCCGATGTTGCACCAGAGCTACGACGCGATGAACGCTTTCGCTTGTGGCGAGAGGAACCAGTTAGAGGTTTGTGCGCACGACTGGCTGGCCGAGGATGAGGAGATCGCAGACGACGATATCCGCTTGGCCACTCACATATCCAGCACCCGACGGGGCAACCTTACAGTTATCCTCGATGCAGCCGATGAACGCGTTGCGGTGCGGAGTGGCAGGGGTGGCTTCATGGGCGACACGTCGGACACTCAGAACTACCAGAATGCGGTCCGTGCCTGGGTTTCTTTTGAGAGGCGCCAAGGCGCTGAGAGCATGGCCATTACCTTCGGGCGCTTCGCCGCGATAGACGCTAGCATGGGCACGCTCATGGCCGACATTTTCAAGACGGAGATCATCCCGAAGGACATGGTCAGCGCTATGGACATTGTGGTGGTGTCCACGAGGAATGATTTGCACCTGGACCAGTCGCTGGCGGCGCGCGAGCACGCACATAACAGGAGCAAGCAGGACGCGGCGCCCGCGCTGAGGTCGAGGCAGCTCACGCGGCAGGTGATCGCGGGCCTGCGGAACTCTGGCTGTCAGGCGGGCTACGAGCCGAAGCAACTGGGCGCCTGATTCCCCGCGGCGGGGAGCAACGCGAACGAGCTGGAGGCGAGGATCCAGGCGCTCAACCGCGGCTGGCTCATGGCGAAGGCGCTCTGGCACTCGAACGCGCCTGAGCGGGTGAAGAGGCTGATGTTCATCTCGCTGGTCAGCGGCGCTGGGCTGTCGGGCACGATCGCGATCGCCTGGGCGGAGAGCGAGCACCGCACTATTTGCTCATCACTGGTGAAGAACTTGCGTTCGATGATGGCGCCGCAACGTTCACGGATAATCAAGTTCGCGCGTTCACGCCTCGGCGGTCTACCGCCACTGGCAGCCGGTGCCCTTTGCGCCCGAGGCGATTGTCCAGGGGCTGAAGACGCGGCAGAGTGCGTTTCGGGATCTTGTGAACCATTCGCATTTCCTGTCGGTGTTCCTTGGAGAAATGAAGCGGGAGTTTGAGGCGAAGCTCGCCTGCCCAATTGCATTCGCGCCTTCAGGTGAGCTGAATGACAACCCTGGGACACACCCGTGGCCGGCACAACTCGAACGCGATACGCAGATTGTTCTGGGCCCCCTTGAGGCAGAGGACTTTGCGGAGGCTTGGAGCGGCGATATCCATGAGCTGCTCTGGGGCACCGACGTGAACTGCTACTTCTCGGCGTTCGACACGCGCCCTGTGCGGACGGCCTTCGCAGCTGCTGCGCGGAAGCCCCCCGCGTCGCTGGCGGGCCCCGCACCTGCGGAGCTCGACGGGGCAGAATCGCGGGAGAACTCATCTCCGTCCTGCACGCGCACCGTCGCCATGTGGAATGGGACACGTTACGGGGCGTCGTTCAAGTCACGAGCGGCCCTGATAGCACATGGCACACAGAGCCAGGAGGAGGGACATGGAGGGAGAAGCACATTCCATCTCATCACACCTACGAACGAGTGCATCAACTGCGGCACCATATATCAGAATCGCACAGAAGCAGCACGACACCTTGCACGAGCCTCGGCACGCAGGGCGCTGCACACGCAAAACACGGCGGACCGCTTGCGTTCAAGGACGCGCACAATTATAAGTGCATGGCGCGCGGTAGCGCGCTTATCGCATCCATCATTCCGCGGCCACCTCTGCTCACACTTACCGCCGACGGCGGCGGGACCTCCGATTGCCGTGGTCGAGCCCCGACCGCCACGGCAGCTTCGCGACCCGCGCGGGCGCGCTTGCGCCTCCTGCGCCTGCGGCGCCCCCTCGTGCCCGCGGCGGGGAGTTGCGCGCCGCTGCAGAACCGATTGTCATCGGCGACGACCTCCGTCGGCCCCGGGCGGGCCGCGCTGATGGACGCGGAGCAGCCTCGGGAAGCCCGGCGCGGACAAGCCCGAAGATCGCAAGAAGCAGAAGGCCGAGGACGGAGCAGGGGCCGCGCGGGGAGCGGCAGGCAGCAGGGGGCAGCAGCCAGGGCGAAACCAGCCCGCCGCGGCGGCGCCCGCCGTCGGCGAGCTGACAAGGACAGGAAGCTGGCGACCAAGGACGGCGGCTCGCGCGAGCTGCTGCTCCTGCCGGCCGTGCAGGTCACGCAATTTACCCAGAGGAGCCGCACCGCGCGGGGCACGACGACGAAGACCGCGATCGCGGAGGAGGGCCCCAAGGTGCCGAATGCGACGCAGGACGAGAACAAGAACTTCGCAGCGGGCGCCCAGTCGATGCGGGAGCGGATCAAGAAGTGGAAGGACGAGGCACTGGCGACCACGGACGCGGGCGACTCGCAAGCGGAGTCAAAGGCAGACACCGAGGTCGCGGACACCCATAAGGAGCTGCGCGAGCTGGGCCCTTCCCACGGCGACGGCGCTCGCGGCCGCGGTCGAGGCGCCGGGCGAGGAGATCGGGCGGGCCAATGGGCAGTCGCTCGAGGCTTGGCCCGCGGCGATGACGGGGGCCCGCCCGGCCACGCCAAGCCGCGCCGTCTCGAGAACTGCCACCAGCGAGACATGATCAAGATCATGTTCTCGGTGAGCGACCAGGTAAAGGAGAACGCGCTGACCGACTCGCTCAAGCAGCTCGGGTTCGCCGCCGCATGCGGCCCCGCCCCTCTCGGGCACATGGAAGGAGAACTCTCGCCGTGGATCGACGTTCTCAAGGCGCGATGACGATGGCAGGCATACTTACCAGTTTTGCTCCTCATCATCAGCGGCGCTTGCGACAAACTTTTTCACGACGCGCACGCGCTGCTGACCCTGGCGCGCAAGCCCCCCCCCCCCTTTGGCGGCTAGCCCCTAATGTCTGGTCCCTGGTCTCGCGCGCGCTTGGAAGGGTGATTTGTTAATGTTAGCGGGTATACCCATAATGTTGCTGATCACTGTGCCAGCGGATCGTTTACTTCAGGCCCCCCCCCCCCCCTCCATCGGCGGCTAGCCCCTGATGCGTGGACCCTGGTGTCCTGCACCTTTGGAAGGGGACTGTGTACTTTGGTCGGCTGGCCCATGGTGCTGCGACCTACTGTGCCAGCGGATGGCTTGCCTCAGGCCCCCCCTCCATCGGCGGCCAGCCCCTAATGTCTGGACCCTGGTGTCCTGCACGTTTGGAGGGGGGGCATGCTTCTGCGGGCCGATGGCGCTGTTGATCACGTGTGTCTGAGGATAGCTCATGTCAGATCATGAGCCCCCCTGCGACGGTGCTGATCAAGCGTGTCCAGTGGATAGCCCATTCAGATAAAGGGCCCTCTTCGCCGGAGTGCTCGCTGAAGGGTTGTTCGCGACCGCGGGCACTGATGTTGTCCCGCGGCCTCACACGGCGCCGGGCCCTCGAGCTCGGCAGCGCTGCCGCGGAACCAGGACAATACGAGTAATGGCGCGAGGCTGCGGACAGCGGGCAGCAGCAGCAGATTCTGCGAATTCTACGCGTGCGAAGTGGCCTTCGCCCGCCCGCTTTTTCGCCCCCCTCTCTCTTCGCGGCCCCTCGGGCCCTCGTCTGTTCACCTGCGGCCCCCCTCTGTCGGGCCCCATTCGGGTTTCGCTCGGCCCTGTGTCTGCGCGCGCGAGCAGCGCGGTGTGGCGCAGCGTGCTTGCGCGCTTGTCCTTGTCGAGTTCCACAGCGCGTGAGTTCCCGTGGCGCGACGCATCTCTTGCTCATCAGTTGCGTAGTACTAATTACTCCTCTTCCTCCTCCTTGTTCCCCAGCTCCTCCCCCATCCTCCTCCGCATTCTCCGATTCCTCCTCTTCCTCCTCCCCTCCCTCCTTCCCTCCCCGCACCCTTTTCCTCCCCCCTCCCCCCCCCGCGCGCGCTCACCTACTCCGCGCTGCCTCGCCCCCGCGCCCCCTGCCCAGGCCGAGGAAGACCACCAGCCCCATGAGCCGGCCCATTGCTCGCTTGAGCTGACGCCAGCGCCGCGCGGGCAAGTTGGGGCAGGCGCAATGTTTTTTTCTTCCTCCTCCCCCTCCTTATAGATAACTCCCTCCTCCTCCCCCTCCTCCTCCTCCTCCTCCTCTTTCCTCCTCCTCCTCCTCCTACTCCTCCTCCCTCCTCCTCGTCCTCTCTCCTCTCTCCTCCTTCTCCTCCTCCTCCTCCTCCTCCTCCTCCTCCTCCTCCTCCTCCTCCTCCTTCCGTAGCCATTTTGGCTCAAGGTTGAAACCTGCCCTGGGGCTTCAGCCTTGTCGCAGGCGACAGGGAGGCCCGAACCTTCCGAGGCCAGGACGCCTCTCTCCTCCCTGCCGTGCGCCCCAGCACGCTTCCAATTTTGGCTACAACGACGCGAGCTGAGCCGCCATGGGCCCTGCCGCCTGCGACCGCCCACACCATGTCGTGCATCGTCTCGATGGGGGTGACGATATTGATACGGAGATTGCTTCCTCTGGAGGCCGTGATTCCTCTGAGGAACCCCGCCGCTCTGCCTCTCGGAGCGGTGGCAGCCGTGGTGCTCGTCGTGCAGCTCGCGCTCGGCCTCCCCCCCACGGCAATGCTGGCCCTGCTCCTGAGCCCTCTCGCCGTGCTCGCCGTGCTGGCCGCGCTCGTGGCGCTGGCGGGGACGTCCCTATGTCTCCTGGTGTTGCAGCCTCGCATCGGGGCCCCGACCCTGCGGCTCTGGGAGCATCTCGCGGTGCTCAAGCTATTCCCTTGGACGAATGGGACGATTCCAAGCGTGCACAGGTGGCTGCAGAGCTCGAGATGGCCGCTACCTTCCCGTCGCAGGAGGCGCGACCCGACCCGAACGCCACCCCGCAGGGCCCTGCTGCTAGGCTCTTCGACCCCTGGGCCGCGGCGGCGGGTGCGGGCGCCACCCCGCGGGCTCAGGCTGCTGCTGGTGGTGCTGCTGATTGTGGCGAAGAGGAGGAGCATGCTGCCTTCACTCGGGCCTTCTACCATGCCGACATCTCCGCGAGGTTCATGCAGCTGCGCAATGAGTTCGACAATATCGTTACTACGGCCATCACCAATTCTGTACAGCAGTCAAACGCTCCCATCGTTGCCACGCTCGCCACTCTTCAGAAGCAGCTTTCCTCGCAGCACACCTCCATCGATCAGCAGGTCATGGCATCGGTGCGTCCGCAGTTTGATACCATGCAGCGCCAGTTTCAGGAGCAGCATGACGCCCTATCCCGTCGTGTCGACTACACTGAGCGGGACATCGAGGCCCAGGCTGCCAAGCTGGCTGAGCTGCAGAAGCAGGTCGAGGAGCTACGCCGCCAGAGTGAGCTGGACCGACAACTTCCGTCGCGCCCCCCTGCACCACCTGGTTTCGACCGCGAGATCGACCCGACGCAGGTCATTGTGGTCTCGTCCAAGCTCGTCGGTCTGGCTGGCGTCCGTGAGGTGGTCAACTCCTTCATGGGCGAGCTCAACTTCTCTGAGGACGACACGTACACGATCAAAGCCCTCACGCCGCTCCCCGCCAAAAAGTTTGCCGTGTGCTTCTCTGGGCCGATCGGCCTGGCCTCCCGACGTGTGCAAAAGGCCCTCGCTAACCTCAAGTCGGACGGAGCATGGCGGGTCTTCCAGTGCCCAGCTCAAGGTGCGGACCCAGCCCGTCTTCACTTTGGTCCTGACAAGTCGCCGAAACAGGTTCGTGGTGAGATGCTCCTTCGTAAGGTCCGTTCTTCCCTCATGGAGCTCGACAGTCAGAGAAAGTGGTTTGTTGATCGGGAGCGGAGTGTTCTCAAGTCTGACTACACCGACATCCTGCGGCTTGTCCCCCGGCCAGGAGATGAACCCCCTGAACTCTCTTGGAACGACGTGGGGATCCGCGCCCTCGGCCTGGACCGTCGTGACCTCCAGGAGGCCATTCGGAACATCACCCGCCGCGCCGTCGGCCACCCAGTGGTGTCTTTGACGCCATCACTGATATGTTTGTGCTTCCAGTGGGGCAGGTCGGCGGAGAGATCACAGCCAGCCTCACATTCATGACTTGGAATGCACGCGCTCTTCTCCAATTTGGTGGGGCGAAAGCCTCGCCTAAGCTATCTTACCTAAGCAAACTTCAACCTGGGCGATCCATCTTGGCTCTCCAAGAAGTACATGCAGATCGATTTGAGCTGAACGACTTTGTGGCCAGGCTTTCCTCCACGGCCATTGTCCACAGTAGCTTTTGTGAAGATGACGACGGCGAGGTTGTCCGCGGCTCTGGGGGAGTTGCAGTCATTCTTCCTCCTTTCTCATCCACTTCGGTCAGTAGCTGTGCGGTGCCTCTGATCAGAGGCAGGGTGCTTCGCGTTGATGTAGCACTTGGGCAGACACAGCTGGTGATCTTCAACGTTCACAATCACGGCTTGACCAAGGGGGAGGTACAATCTGTCTGTGAGCAGATCGATTGTGCTCTGCGTCACGCTGCTGATG